ATTAATTTGGAGTTTGAATTACTCCCTTTTAGCCCTGTTTTGTTGTTCTGTGAGTAAAATGTCACTCTCTGTAGCTGATAAATCCTCTTCTATTTTACTAAATGATTGTTAATTGTGTCCGTCTCCTGATAGGTGCAAGGATTGTATTGATTTGCAGCTTTTCCATTACAGCTTTTAACTTGGCAGGTTCAAATTTGAGTTTTGCTGAAAAACCCAAACAATGAGCTGAAAAGGAGCTAAAATGCTGCAGGGTGTAAATCATCTGTGTGGATTGCCACTATGATGGGCCACTTTCACATTACACATTTGATATATTCTAAACAATTCAATTGTAACCACCCAACTGTCTCTAAGCCTTCCCTTCTGGCAGGAAGATATCTTTTACACTACATATTTCCCCTGCATTTTCTAAAACAATCTGCACCTGCTGTACAGTGCACTGACATATGCCGAAACAGTATAATTTGAGAATAAAAATCTCCATGCCTGTAGGAATTTGCATAGGCTAAATACCATTGTAATGCTGACACTCAAAGGTGAAGTATTGGTTTTACTGGAAACTCAAAAGTCAACTGCTTTTTGATGTAAGCATATGAACCACATGAAGTTTAAGCTTTAAAGTTTTTCTTAAAAAGTTTTAATTATTTTAATCAGTGTGTGATATTAACTCTCCCTGATTCCAGTTTGACCAGTGTAGGGTAATAGGGGAAATAGGGCTCATTTCACAACGATTTAAAGGACTAATCCAATATTTATATGTATTAAGCTTGTTTAATTTATTTATATGTGAACAGGGAATGCATTAAAAACACTATTCTGGTGCACATAGAGGTGTAGAATCTGGACCTAACTTTTTCCACTAATGATAATGAAAAACATTTTTTTTATATTTGCTTTTTATCTCCTCTCAATAGGATTCACAGAGGATTTGAAAGCTACAATGTTTTCCTTTCTCTTCCCGCTTGATTATTAACTTTATCTGCTGTGAACTGTGCGGTTTATTGCGTTAAAGCAAGCTGACAATGAAGAATTTCTGCAATAGTAAACACCGTTCTAATCTGAGGAAAAGATCATATTAAACTCCATTAGCTGAAATGCTGAGTTTCCCTTTATCTATTAACCCCTCTCTCTCGATCACTCCTCTCATGGTAATTGAAAGAGCAGATATTATAAGGTAATTGCCTCATCACTCAGGCAGCCCAGCCCCTCTACATATAAATGTCTCGTTTCACAATGACTTCTGATTCACACACTCTGCCTTTAATTCAGCTACGCTCATGGTCTCTTCAGATACTATTACAGCTCTGCAGGCTATTTCACAGACTTCCCCATGTGCATTCTGAATAGATTGATGAAACAGTGGCCACTCGACATGAAAGGCATGTTTGCTGGATTGAAAGTTATCCTTAATGTGACTAAATGTATTACTGTTCCAGGATGGATATTTGAGTAAAGAGCCTTGGGATATTGAAAGTAACCAAAGCAATTAAAGTGGTTATTGAAAGGCTAAATATATAATGATGACAGCTTTACACTTAAGAGTTATGAGTCCTTCGTTCATCCATCAGTTATTTCAAAGGGTCAATCAATATAATGAGCCATTTTAAAACATTATCTATTTTTTATCAGGCCGTGGCTCAGCTATCATTTTTTTTAAATGGAGAGAGAAATTAATTCAGAGAACATCTAATGCAGCCACAGCTTGATATTTCTTTTCATCTCCTACGATTTTAATGTAGATGTAAATTCTGAGAAAACATTTTAATGACTCCAGCTGAGCACCAACCAAATAAAAAAACTTGAAAAATATTAGCTACGTTATTTCTGATGAAAGGGTGATGTAAGTTTATTATTCTCAATTTATCTAGACTTAAAGACTATAATTTTAATGGGTCTAAAGACCTGCCTGTCACGGTACTAGTCTTTCAAGACTGATTGGACAAAGTAATTCATTTGACAAGGCTTTCAAGTAGAGTATATTGTCAACAGCTGGTAAACCAAATCACTTGTGACAATCTTAAAATGAAGATAAATTAGGGATATGGAAGTAGAGTCCAATTCTAAATCTATTTCTCAGTTCCCAGAAATACATGTATCTGATTACAGTTGTTTTGTTCATGTTTTGTTGTCTTAAAACTAACAGTGTGAGTTAGCAGAGAGGTGAGGCACACAGACACTTCTTGACAAACACGGTTTCTGCCGCAGTGAAGGATGTGTATCTCACCCGGAGGAAACTTCTTCCTGCTGGAGGTTTAACTGCAGTCCTGTCTCCCTAAGGGATAACCATGATATTCACACTGTACCTGTGTGACAGGGAGGATTATTTATATGCCTGGCAGGGATCTCTTTTATTTGTCCACGCTGAATAAGGTTACATTGCAGTAAATATGTATTTGTTTTATTTCTCTTGTGGGAAACACAGGATGTTCTATTTTTATTTAGAAAACAAAAGCTCTGGTGATCAAATAGTCCAACATAAGGGGAGGACAGTAATTCTAGGATAGTGTTAATTTTTCCAACAATATTGCAGTGTTTAATGTCCCTAATAACGCTATGAACCCGGCTTCTTGCTAAATAGAAAATGACTGATGAGCACAGACCTTGTGGCACATTTCCTCCGCACAGACTCCTTTTAACCCCAGTGCAGTGAGATAATGTATGTTGTTTTTCAGCATAATTAGCTGTGATCAGACTAATTTGAATAATGAATGCAATTACAGGTCCTGCTTATGACTAGCATCCTGATCGACCCATTACTGAAAAGCCACGCTGTTTCAAGGTCCTTTCAGCAAGCTGCATGTAATAACTGAAATGAACATGGGCCAGTGAAGATGAGCTAATTTACCATACATTCTATGGATCACCTTTAACCAACAGTTAATTGAGCAGTTGTGAACGCCATCAGAAAGAGCTTTTAATGAAAGGCAAAATGAACCCTAACCTTTGTTGCTCTTTGCTTGGAATTATGACGCAGAGACACAGCAGGTCAGTGCAAAATCAAAGATGACATTTGCTGTTGAGACAGAAGTGAGGGTTGGCCTTTTAGTTTGTTTTGCAGCTGAACTGCAGCATTGCAAAGTTGTGACTTTTCACATTGCTACCATGATAATACCAAATTTGATACCACCATCCTAGTCTCTAATATGTCTCCTTTTATTGAGGCCTGACAGGAGGTTACTTTTGGATTTATTGAAATGAATTCAAGTGATCTGTTAACAGTTATTAGATAAAAACACATTTTAGGTTGTGAAACCTGTTTGATTCCTTAATAAATAAATATGACAAAATAAGGGGAATACACTTACATTCGTATTTTATAAAGAACTAACAAGATATATTCTACTCTCAAGGTTTGTGTTTTCAATGTGAATTTACAGCCAGCAGCCAATTCATTTGTATATTAGGGTAGAGCTAGACTTGCTCTGTCTGAATGAAATAAAATCCATCTGCCAGCAGCAGCAGCTCTAAAGCTCACTAATTAACATGTTACATCTTCTTTGGTAAATCCTCCCAAATGAAAAAGAGTAAAAAGGACATATATGTACCAGAATATACCTTGGCATTTATATAATCCTCAAACAATTTAATTAGGAAATCATATCAATAAATAGCAGAGTTGAATGTAACCCCTTGTGTTTCATATAGGTTTTACTTTTATTTACATAAATATAAAAGTACAATCATTGGTATAAATGTGCAACTTGCAAACAGAATGAATTTGCATACATTAACTGGATGTTACACTACGATGCAAGCAACATAAGACACACAACAAGGTGTATAATTATTTTTGATAAACCCGAAGGTCAGCATTACTGTGGACCACAGACACCTTGAAGAATCTTTCCTATTAAGATCTGAATGTAGTTTGTGGCTCCATACCATCAGTCTTCATTAAAAAAAACATCGAGCACACATCCTGCTAATTTGGAAATCAAGCTCCAGATCATGGCCAACGATTTGACTCTTGTTCAAGATCAAGAGCAGCCAAGCAGAGTAGTAATACATCATTCTGTTTCCAAACCACTCAGCTGTTTACCGCTTGTGCTCCAGCCAAATTAATTTAAATACATTTTGTTGCTGAAACTAGCAGCTTTAACAGTCTCTAAATACAAAAGCATTCATGCACTCTTCTTCAGAGGACACTGGAGCGAGCACAGTGTTATGTACCATACTGTGATCACAAAGAAGCTTTGCTGAATAAATGATAATGCCATTAGCACCATCAACAGCCTTCAAAATCAACACTAAAAACATCACCAGTCTCTGCTTATTTCAAATAAACTGTTTTATTATGGGCCTTGTAATGGCTATGGAGCATGACATTTTAATCGGCCTATTTTACAGTCAAAGTGTTGTTGACTACAGGGTAGATGTTCTTGCGTGTATAATGTACGATGTGTGTTGACTGGAATAAACACTGCTAGTGAGAATAGAGATTAAATTACCGTTTACATAACTTCTTCTGCAAATCATGCAGCGCTGTAATCCAAGTCTGCTATGTTCACCCATATTAACTACTAATAGTGTGGGCTTGGACATTTTGCATTGTTTAAACCTAATTTGGTTTTTGACAAGAACGGGGCAGGAATTAATTATACTTTAACAGAATAGTCATTGATTTCACATTTTAGAGGCATTTGTCCTGATAACAAATGGCAAAACCTAAGACCACCTGCCTCCTCAGAGGATACAGAGGGCAGAGGTTTAAACCATTGCAATCAATGGAGATCAATTTTGCTAAATGGAAAAGGATTGTATAGTACAACACAAGTTCTGCACACTATAATCTTTTCAATATGGAGTCTTTTTGTAGTAAGCACTAAAGTAAGGCAATTTATTTCAAGCCACACATGCATTTTAGGTGAGCAAACATTACTCTATATATTATATTCAGTTTCTTTAAAGATTTATGTGTTTTAGGCTTAAGTAAATAAACATTTTATTGATCATATTATAAGTTGAATACCTTCTGGGGGACTCTAGGGAAGCATTTAAGATAACATATCACATTAATTTAATTCTAATTTCCAGTCCTTTACACAGCAGGTGGGAACACAAATGCATACATACACACATGCTCCTTGTCAAGGGTAGGTTAAAGGATACAATGCAGCTTGCTAGACCCTAACAACTACAGGGGGTTTAACAAATATTTGAGCAAACCTGAAACATCTTCCATTATAACCTCAAGGCTCAGAGGGGAAATGAAGGTTAACATACAGTACATCATTCAGGAATCAATATAGAGAAGTGCCAGCAACACGTCCCCCGTAACATATTACAAAAGGGGAACAGCATTGAATTCGTTCTACAGTATGTCATTTGCTACAGCATGCCATACTTCTTCTCAAATGTCCCAGGGATTGGCACTTTCTATTTGCCTGCAAGAGAGTCTAACAGTCGGGCAACACATGAACCCCGCTTCACATCACATCACCAACACACAGTGAGCTCACTCGCTGCTCATTCGCTATATGTCGGGAGCTTTTAAATATAATAGTGATAAATTGACATTTTGGGAAATACATTCTTGCTAAGAGTTACCATTCTCACATCTAGGTGGTTAACATGGAGCTACAGCTTGTATACATCTGGAAGCCTCAAGTTTTTGTCATTTCTACTTTGTCTTTATAATACAGCACTGAAGGTTGTTGGCTGACAGGAAAAGGGGGAAAAGCTAGTCATAAAACATATTTTTTATTTCAACCTAGGCTACCTGTTTTTTTTATTTTTATTGAAATGAAACAAAGAAGATTTAATGCAGTAATAAGTCAGCTAGACATGTGGACTGGTAGAGCCTTGAAGATATAGCTTATTAGCTTAGCATTGGATACATTCCAGAAAATGGGGGAAACGGCTAGCCTGGCTGGAAAGCTCTCTAATTAATATTACATCTCTAAAAGGATTTTCTAAAGACTCCAGGAAGTCCATAAAGTCAAGTAAGCATAGCAGCGCTAGTTTTGCTTTGTTTAAAAACTGGGAAGGGGGAACCAGCCTAGATGTGTCTAAAGGTAACAACATTTCAACTACTATAGCATCTCCAAAGCTCTCAAATGTAGCTGTTATATCAACAAAGAGACATCACATTAAGAACTACTCACTAGCTAACCAGCTATATATTTCCCCTTACAGGTGTGAGAGTGATATCAATCTTCTCATCTAACTTCACGCAGGAAAGTGAATACCAATATGCCATTTTCCCAACATATCAATCTACTCTTTAGTATCTGGACAACCTGTGTTCACATTTTAACCCTTGTATCCATGTTTTTAGTGGGTAGTTAAGTTCTCTATGGTGTATCAATCTGCTGACCGACTGTGTTAAAGACATGAGACGGTGACTTATTCAATCATTCACATGTAGATATCTGAAAGCTATATGTAAAAAAATATACTTTAAAGACTCTGTTTTATATACAGCTATCTTGTATGGCTTTACCATAATGGCATGCGGGAAACACTAAGACAAGCCTGAATATATCTACCTGAGTCATTTTCTCTATTGTTCTAAGTGTCACTGGGGGGTAAAATAAATTATTCAGATCTATGCAAAACCAGGATGAAAATCAATCAAGGATAGACCCAGATCCATTTCACGCATTATCGTAAAAGGACTTTTTAAGACATTATATGATATACTATGGCATGTCTCATTGTAGTATTCACGGTGCAAGGTTGATGAGTGTGACGGGAGAGCTGAGATGTGCGGGAAATAGGAGGCAAAAGGTTTTGGTGCAGTGAGTGTGAAGTGAATACAGAGATGACACAAAAAAGAGGTGAGTGGCCTTGGAGGATATTATATGTTGAAAATGGATGCAAAGGAAAGAGAAGCCTTTGGCTGAGAGGGTGTGTATTTCGATTTAATATGAATTTTGAACTCCTTCTTTTCTATTGCTGTCAATGGCCCCCCTCTCTAGTTTTTGTTACTTCATCACCGCCTCCCGGACAGGTTAACTATCAACGTCTCCTCTGCCTTGCTGTTTACTGACATCAAACAAACATTACGCAGCTTTAACTTTAAATCACAGATGACTTGGAAGAGATAGTTGCCAGCAACTAGGACATTGATCGCAAAGACTGACAGAGTACTGCATCCTCGTCCAACATCCTCCATCATTACACGTCGTCTACACCTTTACATCGAAAGTGAGGAAAATCAACCTTTGCGGACTTTTGGATCAAGTTCACAGAGAGAATCTTTATCTGAAAACAGGAAATCTCTATTTTAAAATCAATGCAAGCCAGAGTATTCTTATGTTTTTGTTTTCCTCTCCAGCTTCTGAACAGCTTGACCTGGCCTCCTTTAATCTGCATCGTTTAACATAATTTGCCCACAGGATAAAGCCATCCACTTGTTCCCTCTCTTTCCCCCTCTCTTATATTTTACTTCAAACAAACACAAACTTACTTCTCATTTATTCTGTTTTTACAAAAACAGAATAGATACATTCTGCATTCAAAGGGTAATTAATACATTGCCAGCCTTTATCACTTATTTTCCTAGCAGACAGCTTTAAGCTTAAAAAAGAAGAGAAAGAACGAGTTGCATGGTGCTTTCTTTTACCCTTCAAGTCAAAGTCTTTGGCCGCAGAAGCATTTTTCTGTTCTGATAAGGACAGCTCCTCTCTGAAAAGGAATGGATTTTCATTTTTCAACTGTCCTCTTTTCTCCATCTTTAGGAAATTACTCTTTATAGGCCGTTAGTGGCACTGTAAATTCCCCTTCCCAACAGCATTGACAAATCAACTACATCACAGTCGTGCCTAGCTAAACTCCACATTCCACGCTCGCCCCCAGAAATGGAATCAATCACCTGAGGGTAAAACTTGACTTGTGTCGAGAAAGAAATGGAGTTTGCACAATCAATGGAAGGTCTAGAAATGGTGCAAAAAATGCATGAGCAGTAAAATGCATAGATCAGTATGTGCTATGTCATTCAGTGGATACACGTGTCATGTTTATATCAGCATTCAATATGTACATTCAAAGAAAATGGCAAAAGCCCAAAATAATGAAGATTGCACTGTATGCTTCCCTTGGCTCCTTTACTGCACAACATTTCAGTTGTCAAGGTCTGATATATTGAGCACATATAGCAGACCTCAGCATTTAACACTGACATGTCAGTGATTTGTTCTGGGTTCGGTTTGAGGTTAACATAATGGTCAATGGGAGGTCCCCAGATCATTGGCTCTGTGGTTCTCTCTTCATGCCTTCATCATCAAATCATCACTGAAAACACCACCGTCATTACCTGCATCTTCACCACAGGCTTGTAATTCCAACCAAAAGTGTCCAAAAAAATCATATATATCATGCATGACAAGTAACATTGGCAATCCATCTCAAATGTATTTTTTCTATGGCGATCAGCCTCAGGGATTGTTAGACAGTTTGAGAATCAAGAGCTCCAACACTTATTGTGTCCTCTACCTGGAGTTACTTGTCTCTGCCAGCCTGTTGTTCATGATACCGAGAGCGCCAACCCCCCCAGAGAAACCATTAAGGCGTGAACTTCCACACACTGTCCTGGGATATCCATTTGCCGACTCAGACAGCTGCTTCTGCATGATGGCCAGCGACACCTTGTTGGAGGCTGCCAAGTCTTTCATTGAGATCATCTCCCCTGAGAGTCTGCGTCCCTCTGTATCACTATCACAAGGTCCATCAGAGTCGGACAACTGGCCAGTCCGACCCTGGCGACTCTTGGAGCCCGGGCGGATTGCGTTCCGTCTGCCCAGGAGCACGGTGGCCTTATTGCAGCGCTGGCAAAACAAGCAGCTCATTTTCTCCAGAATCCAGTTGAGCACCTGCTTAATGACAATAGAGATAACATTGAAGAGCGAGTAGATGCAACACACGCCCATTAGCATGAAGAAGAAGTTGGCCACCCTGTAGAGGCTTTGGTATTTGTAAGCGGCGCTCTGGCTGCTAACAAAATCCCCAAATCCAATGGTGCTGAAGGTAACAAAGCAGAAGTAAAGCGAGTCTAAGTAAGCCCACCCCTCGACAGGGGTGTACATGGCTGACGCACAGCAGGAGATAGTGATGGCTGACAGGCCGAGAATCAGCATCACATGGTACACGGACGGCTTCCAGCCGGGGAGGGAGTAGGCTGAGAAGTCATGGCGGATGCCTGGCGGAAGTAAACCGCTGTTCCTGATTCGACGCTCCCTCACAGCCTTCATCACCACGGCCAGCAGTGTGATGATTCGCTCCAGGAAGAGGTTGAAGAAGAGGATGGTGGCCGCGCAGCCCAGAAGCCCGTAAAAGATCAGGAACACCTTCCCTGCAACCGTCACAGGCGTCGTCATCCCAAAGCCTGCAGAGACAGATAGACATATCAGACCGAGACCAAAAACAATGTTCAGCTACACGGTTTCTTTAGAGTCCTCAAAATAAATGATTTTTCTGATTCCGAGACAAAGGGAGGCGCTGCTTAAAAGAAAAACAATCCCAAATCGAAATGGTTTGAAAATGAGGCCATACTGTGTACAAAAGGTCCATACAATTGGTGTGCAGAAAATACTGGATAATGACTTTTGCTTTTAACAGAATGTAAACTTTCTCTTGAATATAAGTCTATGTGAATTAATTCACAGAGATATGAACAAAGCTGGGTTTAGGATAATTAGAAAAATAATGTTTTGCATTGCTTGAGAAGTTCAGAAGGATAAGGAAAAACAACAAAATGGGCAGATATCGGAAACCCACATTACACTTATTAGCAGTTAACCAAAAATAAAACAACTCTTATCTTTTACACAGGAGCAGTAGTAGTAATGACATAACGTAAGATCACACCATCGTTTCTTTTTTATTTGCACTGTAAAGCCTTGTCATCGTTTGTACAAGCTGTGTTTATTTACTATGCTGTTTCGCTTCTAGTGGCACTGTAAAAATAAGGACATGGGGGTTATATTGAGGTAAGGAGGATGCCAGGAATAAGCTTAGGTAAGCTTTCTGAATATTTATTTATCTCGACTCTGTGGTTTGGCTTCCTGCTATCTTTTGATTTCTCAGTCAATTACACTGAGTGTTCCAGCTGAGGACGGGGTTATGAGCGGAGAGGATGTTTATAGATTCTGCTGCATGTTGAAGGAGCACTTCAGTAACTCGAGGAGCGTCACAGGTGCAGCCTTGACTTTGCAGCAAGTGTGGCTCTGATGTAAACTGATATTATTAGATGATGAATGTCTTGGCATTTGAGCACATTATTGTTTCTTCAGATCATTTTATGAATTCCTGCAAAAAGGCACTCCACTTTCAGTGAGGAGGAATTGCAAACATAAATAAGAAAAGATAATTTAGCTCAATATTTCATGGAAATAAATTCAATTGTGGTTTATTGGAGTGGTTCCTAACATTAACTGCTTGTGACACATTCAAATAATGACTACTTTCAAACCCTCATAACAGGTTATGAAGAAAACAATACTGCAATCGCTAAAGCCATGTTTAAGTCACAGTCAAAAGTATATTCAAAAGTCAAACTGAACTTTACGGAACATTAATATCATTATTCTCTGTTATCCCCTTTCAGTAACTTTTGATAATTTTGATTTCCACAGGGGACAATTTGTGTGGTCCAGTTCGGTTTGGGAATTATTGGTTTATTGCATAATTATTGCAGATTTTCAGTCGACAAAGTGTTCATCATCATCATCATCATCATCATCATCATCATCATCATCATCATCATCATCCTCTCATATGTAGAAAACAGGACCCATTTATACCTGTGTCTCTGGAAACTACTGATGCTTTGATAATGCTTGTGCAAATGATCTGCACCTATGTGTTATCTGTCTCTCTCTCTCTCTCTCACACACACAAACACCAAACACCAGTCATACTTCTCAGGGCCACTGCGAACACACCCATGCACACACACACACACACACACACACACACACACACACACACACACACACACACACACACACACACACACACACACACACACACACACACACACACACACACACACACACACACACACACACACACACACACACACACACACACACACACACACACACACAGTGTCATTGCTCTTATCGACAGAACAGCAGATGGTATATTTGTCAACAAATAAAATCGTGCAGAAAGATCAACCAGTTCACTTCCAGGCCAAGGTTAATTGATTTTTCCATCATGGCCATCCTCCGTTTTAGTCTTCTCTGAGCATTAGGGCAGCACTTTTCCTCCCTTTTTCACCAACCCGTCTATAACCATCCTTGTCAGGTAATAAATGACATCAATATCAAGACAATACTTCCTTTATGATATCTAAAATTGCTTTTTTGACCTTATCTCTCACCGTGAAAACCACTCTCCTTTGGGCTTGTTGTTGACACGGCGGGTCATTTAGATCAACAGTGATTGAAAAAGATTGTTTTAGAAAGACAAGAGGGAATATAACACCCCTCATGTCCACAGCTGTACACACACCTTATGACCTTACACACAGAGAGATAGACTTGAGTAGGTTTATACATTACACCAGACATTGAATTGTCTGGTTTTGTCAAAGATAGTGACAAAGTTCAGTAACAGACAGTGTGGGAAAGTTGGGTGAGAGGAGGATAAGGTGCCTTAATGAAGCCCTCAGTGAAATATTATTCTACCCTTTCATGTTTAATTAATTAGCAGGCAAAGTATTTTAAACCAACTGAATGATAGGGAAAACCAGATTACATCGTCTCAGCGCACACAGAGACAGTCTTCTGCACCGTCTCTCATTACCAAGCAAATTACCTTAGAGAGGAAAAGGCACCAGACATCGATTCAGTGTAGCATTTCAGAGCCATTACTCTAGACTGTGTCAAGATGCATTACGGAAAAACAGAACAATAATAGAAAGCTAAAAAAAGGCAAGCTTAAAACCAAACACTGTGTGAATTTACTCACAAGGACTACAACTCTACAAAGTCTCCATTCCGGACCAATGACCCTGTTTCTGACCTCGTTGAACATTTCCACTGTGTCCGAACTACGATGAGTAATTTAATTCAACAGAACTTTATAAGGCAGAAAGCCGTATGGGCGCTAATCCAATAAAATAGAAGCCCTGAGAGAATATTTGTTCTTTGACATTAAATACAGTATGCTCAACTCAACGTAGAAAATGATGTTATGCTCTAATGGCTAATGATACCGCACACATAATCACACACTAAAGCTTCAACCAGAAGGAACGTGATGGAAATGGAGTCATTAGTATCCATTATTACAACTTGACAGTTGTAGAGGAAGAAGATTCTCTAATGGTTATGAAAATGTGGGAAAACGAAAAGGGGGGCAGATGGAAATAGATTACTGAACTGCGATTTTAGGGTTAAGGTCAGCTTCTATCAAGTTTTAATGCTACGTAGTCAGCAGTAATTACACAGTTTAGACAGAGCAGCTCAATGCCAATTTACAATGGTCCATTAAGTAGTAAAGTTAAGTCAGGACCCAAACAAATAGCACAAATTACTGAGAGTGTTGCTTATAGAAGCTTTGATGGACTCTGCATTTCATTTGGTACACTCAGTAGACTCGCCTGAGCATCAGAATTTACACCAAAGAGCCACTCTGAGTCAGAGTCTGCAGCAAAATGAGTTTGCAGCAGCGTTTAAATCTAAAACCATAAACTGTTCGAACTCTCCTCTGCTGGCAGCGGACATTTCCTCCAGTAAGATATTAAATCGTGCTATTTTATCGCAGTACGTGTACGAAAACAATAGGGCTCACACATTTTTTCCCAATAAGCATATACACATCACACTGGATTTATTGTGACAGATATATCACTTTCAAAGTGGAAATATATAAGGCTGGTAATATTCTGCTTTTTGTCAAAAGATCCTAGGAAAGAAAGAGCAGACCCAAAAAAAAGAGGTAAAAAAAAGTTAATATTGTACTCACATTGCCAGAGTGCCGGAGAGAGGAATTCAATGATATTATAATGTTGCTCTGTGTCTGTTGGATGTTTAAATAAGTCACTGTTAGAAAGTACTTTTGCCATATACAGTGGGGCAAAAAAGTATTTAGTCAGCCACTAACTGTGCAAGTTCTCCCACTTAAAAAGATGAGAGAGTCCTGTAATTTTCATCCTAGGTATACCTCAACTATGAGGGACAAAATGAGAAAAAAAAATCCAGAAAATCACATTCTCTGATTTTTAAAGAATTTATTTGCAAATTATGGTGGAAAATAAGTATTTGGTCACCTACAAACAAACAAGATTTCTGGCTCTCACAGACCTGTAACTTCTTCTTTAAGAGCCTCCTCTGTCCTCCACTTGTTAACTGTATTAATGGCACCTGTTTGAACTCGTTATCAGTATAAAAGACACCTGTCCACAACCTCAAACAGTCACACTCCAAACTCCACTATGGCCAAGAACAAAGAGCTGTCAAAGGACACCAGAAACAAAATTGTAGACCTGCACCAGGCTGGGAAGACTGAATCTGCAATAGGTAAGCAGCTTGGTGTGAAGAAATCAACTGTGGGAGCAATTATTAGAAAATGGAAGACATACAAGACCACTGATAATCTCCCTCGATCTGGGGCTCCACGCAAGATCTCACCCCGTGGGGTCAAAATGATCACAAGAACGGTGAGCAAAAATCCCAGAACCACACGGGGGGACCTAGTCAATGACCTGCAGAGAGCTGGGACCAAAGTAACAAAGGCTACCATCAGTAACACACTACGCCGCCAGGGACTCAAATCCTGCAGTGCCAGACGTGTCCCCCTGCTTAAGCCAGTACATGTCCAGGCCCGTCTGAAGTTTGCTAGAGAGCATTTAGATGATCAAGAAGAGGATTGGGAGAATGTCATATGGTCAGATGAAACCAAAATATAACTTTTTGGTAAAAACTCAACTAGACGTGTTTGGAGGAGAAAGAATGCTGAGTTGCATCCAAAGAACACCATACCTACTGTGAAACATGGGGGTGGAAACATCATGCTTTGGGGCTGTTTTTCTGCAAAGGGACCAGGACGACTGATCCGTGTAAAGGAAAGAATGAATGGGGCCATGTATCGTGAGATTTTGAGTGACAACCTCCTTCCATCAGCAAGGGCATTGAAGATGAAACGTGGCTGGGTCTTTCAGCATGACAATGATCCCAAACACACCGCCCGGGCAACGAAGGAGTGGCTTCGTAAGAAGCCTTTCAAGGTCCTGGAGTGGCCTAGCCAGTCTCCAGATCTCAACCCCATAGACAATCTTTGGAGGGAGTTGAAAGTCTGTGTGGCCCAGCGAACCAGTGAAGACTTACAGAAAACGTTTGACCTCTGTCATTGCCAACAAAGGGTATATAACAAAGT